ATGGAGATGACCACACCACAATTTTTTGTCCTGTTTTTTCTATCCTGGCAGGATTTTGATGCACACACATGCACACATATATGATGTTGTTCAAGTTGTTGGGGGTCAGGATTTGAACCGTGGCCAGCCATGCGGGATCCAGCTCCCTTAACCACTAGGCTACGGGGCTGGCCCTTCGGTTCCTTAATTCTGACTGATGTTCATTTCCCACTCTTAGGTTCATTACCCTCAGATATGGTTTTCCATTGCTGGTTGACAGGCCTGCCCTTCTCAGTGACTGTCCAGACGGGCCATAGTTACCAGGTATTGTCTCCCCACAACTCAGACCCCCTGGAACATTGACGGGTGTGTCCCTGGTCTTTGCTAGGACCGAGATGGGAATTGGGGTGTGAGAGAGCTGAATCAGAGCACTGACACCTCCTGATGCTGGGCCGCTGGCGGCAGAACTGGGTTCTGATAGCGGTCGGGTTCCATCCAGCTAGGTCTCAGTCGGTGTAACGTGTTTGCAAAGACAACTAGAATCGGAGTCCAGGACAGGCCAGTGAGTCTGGAGTGATGGGAAGAATCGATTTATTTTCTTGTCAGACAAAATCCTGACCTGCCAGGACACCGTGTGACACCACTGCAGCTGCTGGCACTGCTCCGTGGCACCCCAGGCTGCTGGGTTTGACACCTGCCACCCCACAGCCTGGCCTCTCTCCTGGGACTATCTCACACCACCATGGCCGCAGCAGCTCTCAACCAGAATGTAGAACATGGTGCTGACACCCATCAGCTGCCAGCCGGTGGAAGCCCTGGGAAGGGCTTCTATTTATAGGGAAGGCATTCCTTCCACACACAGAGCGCCTTCGGCCTCTGAGAAGGCGGCTGAGGCCCACAGATGCCAAGGGGTGGGGCTGCCAGCCTCCACTGGCAGAAAAGGGCATTGTTCTGTCACCAACAATAGCGGGGTGGCCCTGGCAGGATGTCAGCTGGGTTGACAGTGGCAGCTGCCTGTGCTGTCCCCCTCCACATTCACAGCTGAGCTCCGCCAAGTCCAGGAAGCTGTCCAGAGCTGTGGGTTTGGATTTTGGAAAATGAATGTACCAAAAGGCAAGACCTGCCCAGCCTTAGCGGGGAAGTGGCCACAAGCCCTGGGTGGTTACTCTGGTCCGGCTGATGTATCTGAAGGAGTGAAGTTGCTGGAACGGCTATTGAATGAGCCGGGCCAGGGTAGGAATGCAAAGTGGCTGGCCAGGTGTGTGCTGGGAAGGCCCTTTCCTCCTGCAGCCCTGGCTCCCACGCCAGACTGCCCCAGCCTCGCCAGGCAGGCGGGTGGCACCCAAACACACAGGGAGCCACAGCACAGAGCTGGGCTACTTCAGGGACATGGGAGGGGCTCATCTCTGCGGTAAGGCGTTTCCTCACACAGCCCGCAGGACTCTCTTCACTGGTTAACCCTGACCACCCAGAAGGCAGACTAACCAATCTGGGGCTGAGTGTGCACTTTAAAGAAACACAGCTGGCCAGCATGTGGCCTGGATCCCACATGGCCAACTGTGTGCTTTGAATCCCAGACCCGAGGGCTTAAAAATCGTACTGGGTGCATGTGTGTGCAGCCTGGAATCCTGAGAGGAGACAAGAAGAAGGGATCCCTTCAGGGGGGATGATTTCTCATTTTCTCTATCTGTGTCTCTCTGGTGAGCATATTTTTTTCCCTATTTTTTTTTTTTCTCATGAAGGAAAGAAACACAGAACCAAGTTTAAGTCCCTTTCAGCCACTAAGTGGTGGTGGGACTCCAAGCCAGCTTTTTTCCTCCAACCTTCCGATTTTCCACCGGTAATCTGGGGTAACCCAATAGAAAAATGAACCAAGGATACAGAGAGGCAATTCAGAGAATTCAACATGGAAGTGGCCAGGAAGTACATGACTATGCTCAAGCTTTCTAGCTATCAGGGGCTACAGATGAAAACAAGACCCCCTTCTTGGCCAGCGTTAACAGACTGGCGGTGGCCAGTGTTGTACAGAGGCACTGCCACCCCTGCTGGTGGGGACGGGCACAGGTTCAGCCACGCTAACGGTCTGTCGGTCTCTGCATGCTTCAGGAGGAAACGCTTTGACTTCTAAGAATCTATACAGGAGAAGTAATTGCACGTTAGGGATATAAATGGTCATTGTAGTATTGCGAGAGAAAGAGAAAGAAAGGAAAAGGAAGAAGGGAGGGAAGAAGCCAAGAAGGGAAGGAAAGTGAGGAATGATCTGCTGAAGGAAGGGACTGGAAGGTTCACAAGTCACGGGCATGTGACTGCAGATAGAGCTACAGTGCTAATAACCATGGGTACTTGAAAAGAACCAGTCTGGGAACAACGTGTGAGGCAAGAGCATTTATAGCAAAAGGATGGAGGATCTTATTTGTCCAGCAGGGCTAGGCTTCTCTCAGGAGGAGGGACTACGCAGGGTGAGAGTATAGGAGGAGAGATCAAAGGGGCCCCTTAGAGCCAGTCACTAGAGGACACAAAACCTAGGGTTTTTTGGGTTTGTTTTTAATTGCCAGAGGGCCCATGTGCTTACAAGAGAGAG